CCGTCGCTGTCGCGCTGCGCTGTGACACTCCGCGCCCCGCCCCGTGCACCCCGGCCCGGTTCCCTGTGTCACCCCCAGGGCCCGTGTCCTGTTGTCAACCCGGCCTGTGTCCGTTGTACACCCCGCGCCGGTCGCCCGTGTCAGCCCCGGCCCGTTGTCACCCCAGCCCGTGTCCCCTGTCACCCCCGGCCCGATCACCCCGTGTCCCCGCGTCGTCCCGTGTCACCCCCAGCCCGTGTCCGTGTCAGCCCGGCCAAACCCCGTGGTCCCGGCCGCCTGTCCCCGCGGTCGTCTGGCCGCCCGTGTCCCCCGTGTCCCCCGCGTCGCAGTGTCCCCGCGCCCCGCGCCCGGCCGCCTGTCCCACCTGCGCTCCCAGGACGCGGCTCGGCGGCCCGGCCCGCCCGCGCTGGCTCGCTCTCCGCCCCGCCGGCACCTCGTTGGGGACAAGCGCTGGGGACACCGCGTCCCCTCCCCCGCGCCGCCCGGGCCACGTGCCCTCAGCGGCCCTGTCCCTGTGTCCGGTGACACCGCGCCCCGGCCGTCCCCAAGCCCCGGCCGCCACCCTTTGTCACTTAGCAGCGGGGACAGGGGCTGGGTGACTCTGACCGTGGGGGTTGGTGGCCGCCACCCTCCCTGCTGCACCCCTTGTCCCCAAGCGCCCCTCTCTGCCACTCACTCCCTCCCTCCGACAGCACTTTCCTGCCATCGCATGTGGCCTTGCAGGGGGGGACCCAATCCTGGGGGTGGCTTGTATTCTGGTGGGGGGACAAAGGCAGGGGGCAAAGTTTGCAGACGCATAGAAAAGTGGGAGGCAGTTCCCCACCCCCCACCCACAGGCACAAGCTGGTAGCTGCTAGGAAGAGGGACAAGGGGCGGCTCACCGCCTGTCATGTTAGCACTCTGGGAGGCCGAGGCGGGAGGATCGCTGGAGGTCAGGAGTTGGAGGCCAGCCTGGTGAGCAAGAGCGAGACCCCGTCTCTATTATAAATAAATAGACAGAAATGAGCCAAAAAACTAAAAATATATAGAAAAAAAAATGAGCCGGGCGTGGTGGCGCATGCCTGTCTTCCCAGCTACTCGGGAGGGAGGCCGAGGCAGGAGGCTCGATCGCTTGAGGCCAGGAGTTGGAGGCTGCCGTGAGCGAGGCTGACGCCACGGCACTCACTCTAGCCCGGGCGACAGAGCGAGACTCTGCCCCGCCCCCAAAAAAAAACAAACGAAAAAAAACGGGGGGGGGGGTGACAGGAGTGACAGGGTGACTTGGAGGCCCCCAGGGGGCGAGGCTGAAAGACCCACCCTGGCGGTTTCCCGCGCCTGTAGTGTCACCGGTCGCCACCGAGCGGGCACAGCCACGGCGGCCACCCTGGTCCCCGAGGCCACCCGGCTGGCAAGTCACTCGCAAGACGGGACGCTCTGGGCTGGCACCTGGCCTCCTCCACCCGGCCTCCCTTTTGGGCCTTCACTTTTTTTTTTTAACGCAACGCTCCCCCTCCCCGGTTTCGGCCGAGTGACGTTTAGGCCGGGAAGGCAAAGGTGTGTCCCCCACCCCCCGTCTGGCAGAGCCAGCTCGGGGACACCGATCCCGGACCCCCAGGGACCTGGCCGGGACCAGGCAAAGGGCGGTGCAAAGGCCCTGTGGCCGCCAAAATGGGGAGAGCGACTCAGAAATCATAAAAGCCCCGGAAGAAATGGGGAAACTGAGGCTCGTGGAGGCTCAGGGGGGGGAGTCCGGACTTACCGGAGGTCTGCAAGGTCCCCAGCCCGCTGCTGTCCCCTGCCCAGCAGGGCAAGGACAAAGGTCCCAACCCGGCGGCCACTTTTGTTGACACTCTTTCCACGGACAACGGCCATCGAGTGTCCCCTGGCCTCTACCTTGCCTTTTATTAGAGGCCGCCGTTTTTGTTTTTTTTTCTTCCACCCCCCAGGTCTCTGGTCGCCGGGCTCCGAGCCTTTCCGGGGTCACCGGGTCCCCGGGGATGGAGGGGACAGGGACTTGGGGACACGGCAGGGTCATGGGGTCACCCTGGCCCTGCAGGGACACCCGAGTCAGCTAAGGTGGCGGGTGGCCCCGGGGGGCGTTTTTTTATTTTTATTTATTTTTATTTTTTTTTTGAGAAAAGAGTCTCGCTCTGTCACCCAGGCTGGAGTAAGTGCCGTGGCGTCGGCCTCGCTCACAGCAGCCTCCGACTCCTGGCCTCCAGCGAGCCTCTTGCCTCGGCCTCCCTACTGAGTAGCTGGGACGACAGGCGTGCACCACCACGCCCGGCTCATTTTTTTTTTTTCTATATATTTTTTAGTCGGCCAATTAAATTCTTTCTATTTTTAGTAGTAGAGACGGGGTCTCGCTCTTGCTCAGGCTGGCCTCCAACTCCTGGCCTCGAGCGAGCCTCCCGCCTCGGCCTCCCTCCTGAGTAGCTGGGACTGGAGGGCTCTGGAGGGTCCTCTCTGGGCTCCTTTTTTTTTTGATACAGAGTATCGCTCTGTCGCCCGGGCTAGAGTGTGGTGGCGTCAGCCTCGCTCACAGCAGCCTCCGACTTTGAGACTCAAGCGATCCTCCCGCCTCAGCCTCCCTCCCAAGTAGCTGGAACTATGGGCATGCGCCACCACGCCTGGTTCATTTTTTTTTCTATTTATTTTTAGTTGACCAATTAATTTCTTTCTATTTATTTTTAGTAGAGGCGGGGTCTCGCTCTTGCTCAGGCTGGCCTCTAACTCCTGACCTCGAGCGAGCCTCCTGCCTCGGCCTCCCTCCCGAGTAGCTGGGACTACAGGCATGCGCCACCACGCCCGGCTCATTTTTTTCCTATATATTTTTAGTTGGTCAATTAATTTCTTTCTTTTTTTTAGTAGAGGCGGGGTCTCGCTCTTGCTTGGGCTGGCCTCCAACTCCTGACCTCGAGCGAGCCTCCCGCCTCGGCCTCCCTCCCGAGTAGCTGGGACTACAGGCATGCGCCACCACGCCCGGCTCATTTTTCTATTTGTTTTTAGTTGTCCCGCTAATTTCTTTCTGTTTTATTTTAGCAGAGACGGGGTCTTGCTCTTGCTGAGGCTGGTCTCAAACTCCTGAGCTCAAGCAATCCTCCTGCCTCAGCCTCCCAAGTAGCTGGGACTACAGGCATGCGCCACCATGCCCGGCTAATTTTTTCTATATATATTAGTTGGCCAATTAATTTCTTTCTATTTTTAGTAGAGACGGGGTCTCGCTCTTGCTCAGGCTGGCCTCGAACTCCTGACCTCGAGCGATCCTCCCGCCTCGGCCTCCCAGAGTGCTAGGATGACAGGCATGCACGACCAAGCCTGGCTAATTTTTTCTCTATATATATATTTTTTAGTTGGTCAATTAATTTCTTTCTATTTTATTTTAGCAGAGACGGGGTCTCGCTCTTGCTCAGGCTGGCCTCCACCTCCCGACCTCGAGCGATCCTCTAGCCTCGGCCTCCCAGAGTGCTGAGATGACAGGCGTGAGCCTCCGCGCCCGGCCTGGTGCGGAGTGTTTGGTTCAAGCCTATCCCCGTCCGCGGAGGCAGTGGGAGGCCCGGGGGGTCTCAGAGCAGACACCTTTTCCCCTTGACGCCCTCGGTTTCGTCCAGGTGGGGACAGGGACCCCGCGAGGCTGGCCTCTAATTTTCCGGCCTCCAAACAAATAAGAGTCAGCCCAGGGAAATTGGAATCGCGCGTCCGATAATTTTGTAGTTTTTTTTTTTTTTTTTTGGAGATAGGGTCTCATCACTCTGTCTCCCGGGCTAGAGTGCCATGGCGCCAGCCTCGCTCACAGCAGCCTCCAACTACTGGCCTCCAGCGATCCTCCTGCCTCAGCCTCCCTCCTGAGTAGCTGGGACGACAGGCATGCGCCACCACGCCCGGCTCATTTTGTTTTTTATATATTTTTAGTTGTCCAGCTCATTTCTTTCTATTTTTTTTAGTAGAGACGGGGTCTCGCTCTTGCTCAGGCTGGCCTCCAACTCCTGACCTCGAGCGATCCTCCCGCCTTGGCCTCCCAGATTGCCAAGATGACAGGCGTGAGCCTCCATGCCCGGCCTCCAATAAATTTTAACTCTAAGTGTTCACATCCAATACCGGGAACCTATTTATATGAAAAATAGTCGTTCATTATTTTATTTATTTGATTTGTTTTAAATTTTTCATATTTTTTCTCTTTTCCTTTTTTCTTTTGTTGTTTTTTATTTTTCTATCCTAATAAATTGGTCACATATTTATTATTATTATTATTATTATTTGAGGCAGAGTCTTGCTCTGTCGCCCGGGCTAGAGTCTCGTGGCGTCAGCCTCGCTCACAGCAGCCTACAACTCCTGGCCTCCAGCGATCCTCCTGCCTCGGCCTCCCTCCCAAGTAGCTGGGACGACAGGCATGCGCCTCCACGCCCGGCTTGTTTTTTTTTCTATATATTTTTTAGCTGTCCAATTAATTTCTTTCTATTTTTAGTAGAGACGGGGTCTCGCTCTTGCGCACCACGCTTGGCCTCCAACTCCTGACCTCCATAGCGATCCTCCCTCCTCGGCCTCCCAGAGTGCTGGGATGACATTTTTATTTCATTTCGTTTCATTTTTTTTTTTTTTTTTAAATCTGAGATTGCAATTTAATCGGAAACCCTCATTTTTTTTTGCACGCCTCTCCCCCCCTCCCCACCCTCGGCCCCCCTCAAGGCCATGGGGGGTGGTGGGGCAGGAGGGCGTGGGGTCAGAGGTCAAACAGCCCAATCTCCCCCCCCACTGTCCCCTCAGAGTCTGGGACTCAGCGAGGGGGCTTGAAACCTGGAACCCCCCGGGGGGAAACTGGGGTGTCCGGCGCCCCCAACCCCTTGTCCCCTGCACCCGACCGTTCCCAGCCGCCAACCCCCACGTCCGTTTCCCAGGATCCTTCTAGATCCTTCTAGAAACCCCCGTCTGCAGCCCGGGTTGTGCCCGTGTAGACGCGGCCTCTGGTTTTGCAAACAGTGGTGCAATTGCACCGAGTCCCCTGCTGGGTGGCTCTGCTGTCCCCACCGTTGGGGGAGGGGACGGGGGTCGGTCACGGCAGGTGACCGGGCTGTCCCCTTCCCTTCCTTTTTAATTTTTTAATTTTGTTTTTTAAATCTTTTTGCAGCTGTCCCCAGCATGGTGGACCACCTGATCCCGGTGGACCGGACTTTCTCGTGCCTGTCACCCCGGAGGCCCGGTGACATCGGTGGCCTTGTTGGTGGCCTTGTTGGCGGCGTTGGCGGCCACCCGGCGGGCGTGCGAGGCCCCCGCAGGCTGCCGTCCCCGATCTCCGAGGACGAGAGCGACCCGGCCAGCCCCTGTCCCTGCGCCAGCCCGGACCCCTGTCCCCGGCCGGGGCGCACCTGCCCCGACCGCATCCTGCACTTCCTGCTGTCCCAGGCCACCCTGGGCGGCCCCGAGAGAGGCGGGGGCGCCGGCGGCAGCCCCGTGGTGGCCTGGGGGCCCTGGCCGGCGTCCCCCGGCCCCGCGGAAGGGGACGGCCTCTACTTCCCGCCCGGGTGGCAGCTCGGCGGCCTTGGGGACGCGGCCCGGCCCTTCCAGCCCACGCTGGAGGAGATCGAGGAGTTCCTGCAGGAGAACATGCTGCCCGAGGCCGCCGGGGCCCGCGGGGACAACGGCGAGGGGGACCCGGAGCTGCCCCGGGCCTCCGCGGAGGCCGGCCTCCACCGACTCGAGCCCGGCCTCCACGGGGCCGCCCCTGCAGGCCGCCTTTCCCCGAAGCCCGGCGACCACAGCGTTGACAATGACAAAGAGGACAGTGGCCCTGCGGGCGGCGGCGGAGGCGGCGGAGGCCGGCAGCCTCAGGGCCTCGGCCCGGCCTCCTCTGTGGTCCTCCAGTTCCAGCCCCTGGCGGCCAGGCCCGAGCCGGGCGCGGCCCCGGACCCCGGGGTCCCCGTGGCGGCCCAGGTGCTGGTGACCATCCAGGGCCAGACCTTCGCGCTGGTGCCCCAGGTGCTGGCCTCCGCGTGCCCGGCCTCGCCCCCCTGCCCGGCCTCCGCCCCGGGCCTCCCGTCCAAGTTCGTGCGGATCGCGCCGGTGCCCATCGCGGCCAACGCGGCCGCCGGCGCGGGGCGGCGAGGGGCGCGCCGCGGCCCCAAGGCTTCCCCAAGGCGCCCGGGCGCGAGCTGGCCAAGACTGCACCGGTGCCCCTTCCCCCCGCTGCGGCACATAAGACTACACCAAAGAGCAGCCACACCTGAAGGCGCACCTGCGGCGGCACCCGGCGAGAAGCCTCGCTGCACTGGCCAGCTCGCGCGAGGTCAGTGCGGGGGGGACGGGGACCGGGACGGGGAAGGGACACCCAGGGGAATAAGACAATGGGATCAGGACCGGGGAAAGGGGCATGGGACGGGATAAGGGGGACGGGACATGCACAAGGACAAGGGACGGGGACTAAAGGACAGAAAGGTGCTGGGACAAAAGGAGTAATAAAGGGAAGGAGAATTGGGGACGACAGGGAATCCAACGGGCGAAATATGCAAATGGGACAAGGGAGATAATCGGCACAAGAGGGATCAAGGGACCGGGGGATAGGGACAGGACAGGGATATCCAATTGGCAAAAAACGTAAAAACGTGAAGGACTCATTTATGACGCAGGCGGACAGGACACACGACAGAACTAAGGGTCTGTATCCAGGGACATGGCTTGCATAGCAACAAGGGGACAGTAAGCGAGGACATCCACAAGCCTATCTATTTACATCAGAAGGGACATGTGATTCGGACAGGGACAGGATCTGGCGAGAACCACCGCCAGGACAGGAGACTAAGACAGGGTCGGGACGGGACAAGGAAAACGGAGGTCCCTAGCTCGGGAATTCTTGACTTGCATTTCCAGGACACAGGCCAGATAAATTTTTGACATTGTCAACCCATGCAGCATTATGATGCTTATTCACGGGGATAGGACAGGACGGGGATAAGGGACGGAGGGACAGGCACAGGACAAAGGGAAAACTTATCTAGTACAAGTTAGCTGTGCCGGGAATTCAACCTCAGATAGGGGACAAGGGACACATTCAGGCAATGGGGCAAAACGGAAGAATTAAATAGAACGACACAACCACTGAGCGGATAGCGTAATCGTAACAAGCCCAAACTATAAAAGTGCGAAGCAAAACTTCAAGTAGTATTTATTAATTTCTTTTATCATCTAGGAGGACAGGACGGGACAAGGGACAGGGGACGGGCGACAATGAACATGGGGGACTGGGCGGAGATCAAAGCTTCTTCCAGGGAACAGGGGAATCGACAGGGGACATTTGAGGGACAAGGGGACGGGGACAAGGGACCACAACAGGGACGGGGATAGGATCAGGAGGGACATACAGCAAAAGAGTGGGAGAGCCGAGGGTGTGACCGGAGACCAGCGACAGGGAGACTGAGGGATATAATATTAAGGAGGAAGGGCCAGAATTGGAGACATGGCATACTCATTACTGAGGGGAGACGGGCAGCAAGGGAAGGGGACAGGATGGACGGGGTATAGGGACGGGACAGGGACAAGAGACAAGGGACAAGGGGACCCGGAAGGAGGACAGGACAAGGGATAATTAAGTATCCCCTACAAATGAGAAACAAGGCAGAAGTTACGTCCCAACAGGGGAAACACAGGGGACAGGGAGGACCAACAGAGGGACAGGGGACAAGGCATTTTCAGGTGAATCAAGGCGACGGCGGAACAAGGGGACAAAGGCGGGATAAAGACAGGGGACAAAGGGGAACACATTGAATAGATACCAAGATCACTGACTCTGTCTCTACCAATCCTACAAAGGGTCGCATGCAACACCTTACTTTCAACCCAGTGAAGGGACAAGGGGAATAAGGGATAGGGAACATGAAAGAAGATGGGGAAATGGACACTCATTGCACAAGGCACTGCAATGGGACAGGATAAGCGACAGGGATCAAATAATTTTCCCTGGAAGCAGGGAACAGGAGAACATGACGGGAACATTTCCTATGAGGATAAGTTGGGGGACTTGGGTGGAAAAAAGGTCAGATAAGAAAAGATAAGAAAAAAATACCCATCAAGGCCCTAATGCACATTGGCTGCCACATGTTCTTTAAAAAGGGAGAACAAATGA